TGTATGTGTGGAATTCAATATTTGTAGTTTCATATTGACCTTTTAGCATATCAAAGTCCTCGTAATTCGATGTAAATATTTCTGTGAAATTCTTATGATATTTCAAGTGAAATGTCCCTTTTATCAAGTCTTTCATTCTTCCAAGAAATGCGTTATGATTATTTATTGTTCCGTGTATGACTATTGGCGGTGGCTTTGTTTCTTTAATTGGTTTATTTGAATTATTGTTAGCACTATTTATCTTCATAGGTTGAAATTCTTCAGTTTCACTAACGTCTTCATCCATTTTCTCTTGTAAATTTCCTAGTACTTGAAATCTGTTTTTGGTTTTAATTTCACTATCATTTCTCACTTTTCTTTGTTTTAAGTTTCTATTCGCCATTGTTTCTGTTTCTGCTTCTGTAGATTTTCTTTTAGCATTAATAAATTGTCTTATACTCTCATTACTTTTGTTATGCTGACTTTCATTGTGATTAGCGATTTTCGTGTCGTTTTCGATTATGCCTGTATTAGATTCACTCACGATGCACTTATGTACACTGGAATTGTTTGTATAAATCAGTACACGTTAAGTTTTTCGTTTAATGTCACTATCGGTCTCTGCGCTTTGTATCACTCTAGACACGTCCGTACACGACGGCAGCCAGCACGTGAATCGGACGAGAACTGGTGTATGTATGTATGTATGTATGTATATGTTTATTTAATATAAAGATAAGTACAATATTTATATTTACGCTCCATAAATAAACAAAGGGGGCATTCTTAAATCTAGTATTATTATAAGCGAGCGGCTCAAGGCACTCGTCGCCGGTAGATCAGAAAAAAAAAAGAACGGTGAGTACCGTTCTTATGATATTCTATAAAGATGGTGTATATATGTATGTATTAAGTTTATTTCAGAGACCATTATACATAGTTGCTTATTTTGTTATACTGTCACAAACAAACCAAAAAAAGACAGTTTTTTTTTCACGCATGTGTCAAATTGAGCGGTACGGTAATCAGACTCTCGCCGCTACTATCAGTATTTGAATCAAAGATTCTAAAAATAATATATGGTGTGTGTTATTTATAATAAAAGTGTTCTAACTAAAGAAATATTTGTCAAATTTTCGCATTTTTTTCCAGAAAAAGAGGTCCCTTGTCTTAAAAAAAAACTGAAATACAGTATCTTATTGGCTGAAATAAAAAATAAATAAATAAATAAATAAGTAATAAAGATAACAAAACGTATAAAGATAAAATAATTATAAAATGTCTTATATATGTGTAATAAAATACAATCTATGACGGACGGAGATATAATTCATATACATATTTTTTCCTATTGCGTTATTACTGAATCTGCCATCCACCAATATTTGGAATTGCATTTTTTCTTTTTTAATTTTTCATTGTTTGGAATGGCCATGCTATATCGCCAAGGTATATTGGTGTCACTACTATCAGAGTGTTGTGGATATCCTAGTTTTTTATTATTGTTATGTCTTGGGAAATGATATATTAGTGGAATGCATTTGCAGTCTTGGATGTATCCTTTTTGATCAAGGTAGATATGGTAAATGTTTCTGGCGGGATGTATCCCGTAGTTAAGGTTTTTTCGTGATACATTGGATTTGGATACAATGCGGCAAATACCAAACTATTTTACAATATTTTGCTTGCCTGCAAGAAATGTTCCCGAGTTAGAGCAACCATGAAATTATCAATCCTAGGTGTATTCGCTTTGTTGTACAATATTTCATTCCTTATATATTTCGTATAATCAGATTCCGCAGATCTATTCATATTTAGACAAGCGCGCAAACACGTTCTTTCGAATATCCTAATTTTCTCCATGAGAGATGCACTAATGTTATACCATATTGGACATCCGTAAGTAATTATTGGCCTCACGAGTAATTGATAACGTATCAATTTAACCTCAGGATGTAAGTATTTGGAGTAGAAAAGTTTTTTGAGACCCATAAAAATTTGAACCGCTTTTTTTAATTGGATGTCAATATGCATTCTATAGTGAAGTCTCTCATCAAGATTTATCCCTAGATATTTGACTATATTCTTGTGAGGAATTATTTTTGCTTCGGTATTATTCCGAGAGCTTTCTATCTTAAATGTTTTATAGTTTTTTTTTACATTACTATTCGCGTATTGGAGCGAGAATCTAAATAAGATTGTTTCACACTTATTTAGATTGATACTTAATTTCCATGTTTTGAAATAAAACTCCAACCTATGAAATACACTTTGCAGGGTTTCTTGTATTTTGGAAGGCCAGCTATTCGCCGAGTAAACAATCAAGTCGTCTGCAAATGCAATTGCTTGTGGATTATTTGGTTGATTTAAATTGAAGCTTTTCAGTATATCGGATGTATATATGTTAAATAATATAGGTGAATTAACCGTTCCTTGTTGTAATCCTTTATATATTTTAAATGTATTTTTGGAGTATATATCTTCACTAGCTGTTATAAGTGAACGATCTGAAATCATACTCCAGATTAATTTAATAAGATAATTTGGAAATTCTTTTTTTATTAGTTTAAACAAAAGCCCATCCAGCCATACTGTATCAAAAGCTTTTTCGAGGTCTATTAATAATGCACCTAGACACTTTTTACTATTAAAGGCCCAATTAATGTCAGAAGTCAATCTATTTAAGGCGTGTATTGTTGAGAGTTGGCGTTGGAATCCGAATTGGCATTCCGGTATTACATTATTTTTTTTGCAAAAACTAATAATGCGATCATTAATAACAGTTTCAAATATTTTACTGATGTTTGGTAATAAACTTATTGGTCTATAGCTTTCTGGGATTTCTTTATTCTTATTCTTTTTTAGAATTGCTACCACTTTAGCTGTTTTCCAAATATCTGGAAAGAGAGAATAATTTAAGAGGTTATTAAAAATAACTGTATAATTATAGATTATATTTTGAGGTAAATGTTTCAAAATTATATTGGGAATTTTATCCAAGCCGAAAGATTTTTTATTATTTAATTTTCTGAATTTTTTGTTTAAATTATACGTGTTTATGAAGTAATGTTCGTACTTTGTCTGTGGTTTAGGGTCATCTGCAGTGTTTTCATTATTAAATTCACATAATGTTATATTCATCTTTCTTTCATTTTCGGTCCGCGATTTGAAGATATCAATTTCCTTGTTTATTATATTATTTAATTTAGGCCTGTTGTTATCATGGGGTTTATTATTTATGTTGGCAAAGTGTGCCCCTATTACGTCCAATTTGTCTTGTAGAGTATCAATTAGTGCATTATTATCTTTTTTTAAACTATTTTCATCAATTTTTGCTTTACTTAGTATGGGAGAATGAGATTCTATTTTTAATGTGGCAATCTATGATATCTCTTTTTTTTTTAAGGCGAGAACTGGTGTATATATATTTGTTTATTTAACAACTTTTACATATTGGGCATACATTACGCATAAACAGGCGCAAAATAACATAATAGAATAAGAGCGGACGGTCTGTTGACACTCGCCGCTGTAAAAAAATTTCTCGGTGCAAAATGGTAAACCCACTGTATATATAGCTTAACGGCTACCGGGCCTTAGTTAAGGAGTAGAAAAGAGAAAAAAAAGGAGGTCATTTGACCTGCCAGAAAAGAAAAAAAACTGTCATAACCATATAATAATAAGCATAATAATAAATAATTAGCCTGAGCCTAAAATGAGTATCGGTAAATTAACTTAAAGTAGAGAAAAGCAATTATCGGAAATTATTATTGGTGGTGTAAACTAACGACAATACCACGGATACTTAATTCCACCAATAATTACATTTGTTATTTTTCTTTTTTAATTTTGAGACATCAGGGATAGGCATGTCATATTTCCATGAAATGGATGAGTCTTTGCCGTCCGAATGTGGCATGTAAGTAATTTTTTTTATATTATTATGTCTAGAATAATGGTAGATTATAGGAATGTCATTGTTATCCTGTATGTAACCATTATGATCCAGAAACAAAAAGGCTTCTGGAGAAATGTATCTAGTATTTAAGGTATTCTGATAATACAGATCATTAGGATAAAAAGCCGCAAAGATTAAACTGTTTTGCCATAATTTGCTGGCCTTTAGGAAATTGTCACGAATTAGATCAATCATAAAATTATCTATTCTTGGAATTTTAGCTTCATTATAAAGAATTTGATTTGTGAAGTGCTTAGTATAATCTGATTCAGCAGTTCTAAATAAACTAAGGCATGAGCGCAAACATTTTCTTTCGAAAATCCTTATCACCTCCATGAGTGAAGCACTAATATAGTACCAAATAGAACATCCATAAGTAATTATCGGTCTAATCAAAAGCTGATAACAAATGAGTTTTACGTCTGAATTCAAATATCTCGAATAAAAGAGCCTTTTTAGACTCATGAATACTTGTGAAGCCTTTTTGAGTTGAATGGTTACATGTTCCTTAAAATGTAGTCTTTCATCTAGGTAGATTCCCAAATATTTGACGGTTTTTTTATGTGGAATGATCTGTTCCTCTGTTGAGTTCACCTGAGATCCTTTAATATGAAAGTGCTTGTAATTTCTTTTTACATTTCGATTCGCATTTAACAAGGAGGTTCTAAACAAAATTGTTTCACATTTATCCAAATTAACGGTTAATTTCCAAGTTTGGAAATAAAAACCTAACTTATTAAACGTTTCTTGTAGCTTTTCCTGTATTATTGAGGGCCAGCTATCCGCCAGGTACACAATTAAATCATCGGCGAAGGCTATCGCTTGAGGGTTGTTCACCGTATTTAGGTTGAACATGTTCAGAATGGCCGCAGTATAAATACTAAATAGTAATGGTGAATTTACCGTGCCTTGTTGTAAACCATTAAATAGTTTGTAAGTCATTTTCGCTAGAATATCTCTACAAGCAGTAATAAAGCGAACGACCGGATGCCATACTCCAAATCATTTTGAGTAATTGTTCTGGGAATTTCATTTTAATTAGTTTAAATAGTAATCCGTCTAATCAAACGGTATCAAAAGCCTTCTCCAAATCTATAAGGACAGCGCCCACGCATTTGTTATCGTTAAAGGCCCAATTTATATCGGAAGTGAGTCTATTGATCGCATGAATTGTTGAGAATTGTTTTCTAAATCCGAATTGGCAATCTGGGATGATATGTTCTTTTTGACAAAAGTCATTAATTCGATTATTGATAATTATCTCGAAGACCTTGCTATTATTGGGTAAGAGGCTAATCGGCCTGTAACTAGCAGGGGCCTCTTTATCTTTATTTTTTTTTAATAGGGCTACTACTTTGGCTGTTTTCCATCTATCTGGAAATATAGAATGATTAAGTAAATTATTGAATATAATCGTGTAATTATATATTATCTTCATAGGTATATGTTTTAAGATTATGTTGGGGATGTCGTCCAGTCCAAAGGATTTTTTATTATTGAGTTTTTTGAAAATTTTAGCAAGAGTAACCGTATCGATAAAATAATTATTAAATTCTGAGTCGACTGTTGGATTGTCGGAAGGGATTGTATTACTGAAGTTACAAATCGTAACATTATTTTTAAAATCCGCGTGCATTTTGTTTTTAAAGGAACTAACTTGCTTATCAATTATTTCATTTAATTGTGGCCTATCGTTTTCCATGATTCTATTGTTGACGCTAGCGAAATGTGCGCCCAGCACATCTAATTTATCTTGTATATCATCTATAGCTATTTTTCCGTTCTGATCTGGTGTGAGATTATTTATATCAATATTTATCGAATTTATTATGTTAGAATTCATGTCTATTTTGAGTCTGGTTATCTCAATAGGATCTTTTTTTCTGAAAATGCTATTCACTTTCGGGAGCATTTTTGCTGAGTCTTGTTTCGTAATATTGGTGATCTTTTCTTTCCAATAAGCACTAATTGATTCAGAGAATTCTATTTTTAGTTGATTTCTAATATTAATCATTTCTCTTTTTATATAGAAGTTTCAATCTGTGAGTGTCAAGCGGCCACTTCCTGTTTAAGCGATGTATTTGTGTAAGAATATTGTTTTTTGCTTTTTGTAGTTTAATTATATTATCGTTTAAGTAGGATTTTTTAGTGGGTTTTTATCTTTAATTTTAGGAATACACTTTTCCATTGCATCTATGATTGCATCATCTATACCTTGCAAAAGGGAGTCTATCTCTATTATTGTTAAGTTTCTGTCGACAGGGATCTTGGTTGTATAAGATTGCTCTAGATATGTGTCAAGCGGCCACTTCCTGTTTAAGCGATGTATTTGTGTAAGAATATTGTTTTTTGCTTTTTGTAGTTTAATTATATTATCGTTTAAGTAGGATTTTTTAGTGGGTTTTTATCTTTAATTTTAGGAATACACTTTTCCATTGCATCTATGATTGCATCATCTATACCTTGCAAAAGGGAGTCTATCTCTATTATTGTTAAGTTTCTGTCGACAGGGATCTTGGTTGTATAAGATTGCTCTAGATATGCCTCGAATTAAACTTAACCCAATTTGTCTTTTTATAATTGAATTTTTTATTAGGACCTTCTATATCGTGAAGGATTTCATTTTCATTCCCCATCGTGATTTTTAATAGAAGTGCATTATGGTCGCTATCGTATGGCACGTTTGTAAGAGCTACACCGTCCTCTAAATTTTTAAACGTGAGTCTTGTATCAGCTAGTACTAAATCTAAAAAGGATTGACCATTAGGATAGGAGGGGTATTTAGAACATAATAATTTTATTCTATATTTTAAGTCATTCTTTTTTATCCAATTACATAGGGATATGCCTCTAGGATTATTATTCCTATTTCGCCAGTCAATGTGTTTGGCATTTAGATTACCCGCTAATAAAAAGTAATTCTCTGTCTCGTTTAACTTTAACTTTTGAAAAAGGTCATCGAGTTCTGGAATGAATTCTTTTTGTGCGCCGCACTTAGCATATGCAGCAATAATGTAGAGGAATTGATTTGACTTCAGTTTACATTTGATTATAGTACATTCTAAAATTTTATAATTATTAGTTATGTTTCCTGAAATTGCACTGTAATTAATACCCTTTTTAATAATTATGGCGGTCCCACCTCCCGCGTTGTCTGCGTTTCTGTCATTTCTAATGATATTATAATTTTCGAATCTAAGTATATGATTTTTGTTTAACTTAGTTTCACCTAGTAATAAAATATCGGACGAATATTTCTCAATTGTGTACAGCAATGAGGCACGCCTCTGATTTTTGATTATAGAGTTTACATTTATAGAAATTATGTTTAATTCGGATAAATCTGACATAGTATTACCATGCAACATTTGCATTTTATCTGAATTCTTCGCATTGAAGGCTATTCAACAATTTATCTAGCGTCGAGGCCAAAGTATCTATTTTAAGAGAATTACTTTCAACAATCTTTTCTAATCTATCGATACTATTCTTCATTCCCTCAAACATGTAGTCGATAATATTATTGCTGTATGCGCTGTTATGGGCGTTGTCCGTATTGTTATTAAAAGATTTAGATGGGGATCGAACACTTTCATTATTGATTAAATTAATTTTCAATGAATCTGCAAAGGATACATTTTTTCTCACGAACGAGTTAGTAGCATTTTTATTAACTCTACTCTTATTACTGCTTGAATCTTTATCGCTATTATTAATTTTTTTTATATTATTAGCCATAAGTATTTTTTTTTGCTTTCAATAATTGTAGGACAGCCTCTATAGGAAGCCGGATGCCCATATTTATTGCAATTAATACAAAAAAGCTGTGTCTTACTCAATTGTGTACCTGTAGGACTGCTACACCTCCCAGGTTCATGCTTTACATCACATTTGACACATCGATATGGAAGGTTACAATTTGCGGCAGCGTGACCAATACGTTGGCACCTCTTGCATTGAATTATGTCTCTTTTGACTAATCTGTTCCAAGATATAACCTGGTGGAATAAATATTTAACTTTACTTAAATTATTAATATCGTTATCCGGGGTAACCTGTATAATAAACATAGGTAAGATTATGTCATCTTGTTTAGATTTACTTGTAGAAAATCTTACTACTTTGATGAGTTTAACATTGTGAATATTCTGCGATTTCAGTTCCTCCAGTACTTCCTGTTCACTATAATTATGATCTAAACCTTTAAGTAATAAATTCAATGGTTTGTGTGATTTAGCTGTATATGTGTAAAATTTAGAATTACATGTACGTAACAAATCTATTGCAATATTATAATTGGCTAGTGTATTAACATATAGAGCATGCTTGCCGCTATTTATATTTCTAATGTAAAAACAATTCTTATCTGTTAACTTAGTTTTCAATAACTTCGTTGTATCCTTAACGTCTTGATCTAGAATGTTTATGGGTGGAGGCTTCTCTGTTCTAATCTTTTTCCCAGAGTTGTTATTGGGTTCATTATCCCTGACGTTTTTGTTGGAAAAGTCGTTGTGTTTGACTGCAACATTACTATTGTGTTTCTTTTCATTCCTCTTGACTTCTGAAGAAATAGAAGTCCTTTGACTGTTCTTCTTGGTTAGGTAAGAAGCAATATCTTCCAAGGGCTGGCAATCCATTGTAAGTGACGAGTCTGTTTGTGGTGAAATATCATTGTCGAGAAGATCGAATCTGTTTTGCGTTGCGATATTCCCGATTTGTCTCAGTGTGATCGTATTACTAATTTTCGCTTGCAGGTTAGAGATTTCAGCTTTTAAAGCTTGATTCTCCGCGATCAATTTTTCTATTTTTTTTAACGACCTGTTTTCTTGCGAAGCCAGGGTCATTTTTATGCCCGTTTTTTTTAAGGAACGAGATTTTTTAGAGTTAGTTTCCATGAGATTAAGATGCGGTTTTAGTTTATTTCCATTAATTTTGGACGCTCTCGCTTCTATAAGTGCGCGTTTTCTCCTAAAGGATCTCTCCTTGAGCTTTAAGAGCTCTTCTGGGCCAATTAAGAGGCTTTTACCAGTGAGTGGCAATGGAATATCCTGGATGTGATCTTGCGGTATTGGAATTATAATACCTTGATTTGGCTCAGGGCCACAAGCTATTGTATTCCAATCATCGCTATTTTTTGCGATATCCGTATTCTCCAATATCTTCACGGTGGACGTGCTGTATACTTGGAATATAACAATATTTAAAAAAAAATTGCGAAAATAAAAAGCGCAGGCACACACGTGGCCAACGTTCGCTAGGACGCACATGCGTAGTGGCGAGAACTGGTGGTTTCAGTGTGGTTTGGACGTTGTCCGATGTTACATTTGTTTGAAAATGGTTTTCACTGGCTTGGTAATTTTATTACTTTAAAAATTTCATTTTTTACATAGCAATGTTAGACTTGTTAAAATTCTTGTAATATTCTTGTAATATGCTACATAAAAAAAAATTAAAATTTTTAAAGTAAACGATTGTAAAAAAATTAAGCAAAAAGATGAATGCAAAAAATTACTCCCTGAAATCTTCTTAAGCTGCGTTTCGACATGATTTATTAAGTGCAATCTTTCATCAAGAATTTCCGAGAAATATGGTCAGATAAATATCGATTTTAAAAAAGATTAGAACAATTAACATAAAATAATTCCATACGAATAAACACAATTACATCATTGCTAGAAAAATTATTAAATCGTCATGAACAGTACGAATAATACAGAATCAAATAACAATAAAGTAATTTCAAGGGAAAAAATCAAAATAATATCAGTAAACGTTATTCTCAAAAATCAAAGAAAGGCTTCATTATTAAATATAATAAACCAACAAAACCCAGATATAATATTAATAAGTGAAACTAAATTAAATAAGAACATATATTAAGGTTTGAAGACTATAATGTGATAAGGACAGACCGTGAATAAAACCACCCGTGCGGAGGCACAGCCATTATAATTAGAAAATCTATTAAATTTGATAAGATTTCGTTATCTGAAACAAATAAAAATAAAATATTAGAATACACCATAACCAAATGTAATAATATCAGAATAAATAAATCGCAGCATACGCTTGGAGCGGAGGTCAAAAAGAATTCATACCCGGAATAGATAAAATATTCGCATAGTTAGATTTAAATAAATTAGAAAACTATTATATAATATACAGGAGATTTAAACGCTAAACACACTGATTGGAAAAACTCTAATAATAACCCTAGGGGAATAACTCTTAAACACTGTTTAGAAAGAAATATATAATATGTACTACGAAACAAGACTGAGTACTAAATACCCTTCATATCCCCACGGCAACTCCTTTCTTAACATAGTCATCGCAGACACAAGGTTCACTTTCCATGACAAAGAAGAAGACTGTCAGTTAACCAATGTATCGTATGACACCGACCATAACGCAATCAGATTCCACATTTCCACAGATAATAACGACAGACTTACTCTTGACTGTAACACAAATTACAGATATAATTTCAGAAAAACCGCTTTGGAAAACCCGATCGCCTGAACTCAGACGCAATTCGGAAGCTATTGAGAATAGTCGATCCCGTATGGGCAGTCGTCTCACAGTTGCGGTGTCGAGAATACGATATTGAAAGTTTCGAATAGTGCAGAGTGTTGCAACAACCCAAGGCGACAGCCTCAGGCGTAGTCGTGTCCATTCAACTACCTACGCGTAAAAATATCAAGCGACATCCCCAGGCGTTGCCATTAAACGGCTCAGGGTGTCTGCCCAGCGTACATTTACGCATTGAACTGTTAAGCGACATTCTCAGACGTTGCCGCACAGCGGCTCAGAGTGTCCGCCTATATAAATTACGCGTTATGACGATATTCGACATATGCGAGTGAGATAAACTTGTCAAATTCTTGTATCGACACTTGTGATTTGTACAAATATACTCTATTCACACAGACTTATTTGTAAGTGAAAAACTTGATATGAATTAACCCAGCACACGAAAAAACAGTACGATCCTCCTGCCTCGTGTTGATCTACATAATACCTGTAATACTCAGATAGTAATGATGCTAACATTCCATGTGTGGGGGGGGGAGGGGCGGTATAGCATGACTATTCCCAACATAAAAAATTTTAAAAAGAAGAAAGATAGGTCTAAGTACTGGTGGAAAACAGATGTATAGATATGTACAAAAAGACTATTATTCCTATTAGTCACTTTTTTGCAATCGTTTACTTTTAAAATTTCAATTTTTTTATGTAGCAATAAATATTACAAGAATTTTAACAAGTCTAATATTGCTGTGAAAAATAAAATTTTAAAAGTATAATAATAAAATTATAAAGCCAGTGAAAACTATTTTCAAACAACTCTAACACCGGACAACGTCCAAACCACGCTGAAACCACCAGTTCTCGTCGGAGTTCTCGTCGGTCGGTAAGCGAGCGAATGAAGCGGCTTAGCTTTGGCGGCGACTGGCCTGTCATTTAACAAATAAAATCATAGGCAAAGTATCAAAGAACTATAAAGACGATAAGTCTCTCATGGTTGAGAGATCTGATAATAAAATCGTAACAATATGCGACGATTGGAATCAAATGGACGAAGATCCTGAGGATCAAAATGACATAACCTCACATACAGAGCAGCTCCAAACATCAACACAAGATAAATTAGCTACTGAGGATACAACACTTAACAATACATTCAACAAAGTGATACAGAAGAGAAAGACTACCCTTTCTAAGGTACCGAGTGGCAAGAGAAATAAAATAAATCCAATTCCTAACCTAAACATAGCAAGGAATATTTCTAACGTCATAGAGGGTTCACCCATTAACATAACAACCTAACAAATGGTAAAGGAACTAAAAGCAAAAATTAATAAACTGGAAGCAGAGAATAAAAGACTACAAAAACTTAGTCATGAAAACAAAGAAAATCAAGAACACGTGGCGAACATACCCACGATCAATAGGTTTGAAATACTTACCAATGAGAATATAATTCAACCATCTCAAGAAACAGATGAAATGGACTGTCATGAAACGGATTTTCTATCGCAACTAAGAAAGAAAAATAGCCAAGATATGATTAATAATAGGATTACAAAAACTCATCCAACTGCCGACAACTTAGAAGGAAGAGAACGAACGTCAACTTACCGATCTAAGGATCAACAGGTTTCTAGTCAGAAGATACAAAAAAAAGATAAACCTCCGCCTATCAACATTCTATATCAAGACCCTAAAGACACAGCACAACTATTAAAATTAAATATGAAGGATTCGAATAATTTTTTTATTAAGCGAATTAATAACGGTAAGCATATTTTACAAGTAGAGTCATTAAATAATTTTAAGCAGGCTAAAGAACTTTTATTAAAAAGTAATACAAAATTTTATACTTATACCAGTAAATCAGAAAAACCAATAACTTTATTATTAAAAGGTTTAAATAATTCATATGAGGAAAAAGAGATATTAGAAGAACTAAAATCTTTGAATATTAACAACATAGAATTTCAAAAAGTAATTAGATTTTCCACGAATAGATCTAAATTAGATAAAAGAACACTACCTATATTTATAGTACAAATTTCGTCTACAAGTCAAGTAAATAATTTAAAAAAACTTAAATATCTTTTTCATCATGTGATTTATTGGGATAAAATGATACGTAAAGACGTAATACAATGTAAGAAATGTCAGCGTATTGGCCACACGGCCTCAAATTGTAACCTTCCGTACAGATGCGTTAAATGTAATATTCAACATAATCCGGGGGAATGCAGCTGCCCACCGAATACACAAATAGATAGAACGAAATTATTCTGCGTAAATTGCAAGGATTACGGTCATCCTGCATCGTATAGAGGCTGTCCTAAAATAGTCGAAAATAAAAAAAGATTAACTGATCTAAATTTAAATGTTAACAATAAAAATAAAAAGACTAAAAATAATAATAACAACCCTCGTATTAATAAAGCAATAGTACGAGCTGATGTTAGCTACGCGCAGTCAGTAAAACAAGCTGCCCCTCGAAATACTAATGAAACTATTAAAGATTTTGAAATAAATTCTAATGTAAACGGATTTAATATCCGGGATAACAACACATCTAATAATCTAGAAAATGTAATAATTGAAATTAAAAATAATTTAGCAAAGTTAGAAAAAATAGTCGAAGATAACTCTTTAAGAATCAATACGATAGCTTCGTTCTTAGAAAAAATAATGAACCAAAATGCATAATTCGGCAACAATTCAAGTAAATAAACAAATTTTAAAAAAAATAAAAATAATTTCTATAAATGTAAATTCAATAATTAAAAACCAAAGAAGGTTATCATTGTTCAATATTATAAGAACTCAAAAACCGGATATAATATTGATTAATGAAACCAAACTCAGTAAAAATCACATACTAAGATTCGAAAATTACAATATAATAAGAAATGATCGGATAAGTACACATCATGGCGGAGGTACAGCTGCAATTATAAAAAAAGATATTAAATTCAATAATATAACAATACCCGATATAACTAATGAAAAAATTTTAGAACACACGATAATCAAATTAAATCTAAAAGATAATAAAATACTTTACATTATATCAGCCTATGCGAGATGTGGAAACCAGAAGGAATTTATCCCGGATCTTAACAAATTATTTGTTACATTGGAATTATATAAACCAGAAAACTATTACATAATGGCGGGTGATCTAAACGCCAAACATGTATACTGGAAAAACGTAAACAATAATCCCAGAGGCATTGCACTAAAATCGTGGATAGAAAACAATAATTTAACTTATAAAATTAGATTACTAAGCACAAGACATCCCTCTTATCCTAATGGCAATTCTTATTTAGATATAGTAATAGCTGACGCTAGACTGATATTTCATGATATCGAAAATGATAATGATCTAGAAAACATACCGTATGATAGCGATCATGAAGCAGTCAAATTCTGTATATCCCTCAGTAAAGAAACAGGCATTGAATTAGAACCCATTAATATAAAACATAAACATAACTTTAAAAAAACAAATTGGGAGAAATTCAGGGAAACGCTACAACAAAATATTTACATTATCCCTAATGATAGGAACTTATCAGTGCAAGAAATATACCAATATCTTAGAGATTCAGATGATAAAATACGCGAAACCATGGAAAAAACCGTACCTAAGATAAAAGAAAAAGATTCGATTAATCCTTACATAAATGATAAAATAAAAAAATTACAAAAAAAAAAAATAAGCTACTTACAAAAATACATCACCTCCGAAGGAAATGGCCCACAATTAACATTCAGCGATTGTCGTGTTTGAAGAACGAGCTCAATAGTATTAGAACAGACCTAAAATTAGAATTTTCGTCTTCGATCAATAATTACTGGAAAGAGAAAATAGAAAAAATCCCAAAAAACGATTCTGCTAATATGTTCCCCCAACTTAACAGTATTTTCAGAAAAAAAGATTCAGCGGAAATAGCTACGTTAAAAATTCCATCTAACTCACCCATATTAAATAAGGCTGAAATTGATATTACTAATCTAGAAAAGGACAAAAGTGATTGTATTCTCATAAACAATTTGCATGATAAGCTCAACACCATAGGAGCGCATTTTGCTAGCATAAATAATAGAACTACTGATAATAATAGACCGCAACTGTATAACCTGATTGCTGAAAAAATTAAATCTTTCACAGATCAAGTAGAAAATGAAAGAACAAATAATTTAACACTATGTATATTTAATAATAAAAATACTGCAGACGACCCCCAACATGAAGTTTATAAAAATTATTTCACTAATACTTTTGATTTATCTAAAAGATTCAAGAAATTAAATAATAAAAAATCTTTTGGTCTGGATAGAATTCCTAATATAATTCTTAAAAATATACCCAATAACATGATTTATAATTACACAATAATTTTCAATAATTTATTAAATTATTCGCTCTTTCCAGATAAATGGAAAACAGCCAAGGTGGTTGCAATCCAAAAAAAAAATAAAGATAAAACAGACCCATCAAGTTATAGGCCCATAAGCCTTCTTCCAAACATCAGCAAATTGTTTGAGACTATTATCAACGATCGTATTGTAGCTTTCTGCAAAACGAACGAAATTATACCAGAAAGTCAGTTTGGCTTCAAACATAAACATTCCACTATCCATGCAATAAATAGGTTGACCTCAGATATAAATTGGGCGCTTAATAATAAAAAATGCCTGGGTGCATGTTTAATAGACTTAGAGAAAGCCTTTGATACCGTATGGCTAGACGGATTAATATATAAA